ATGCCTGAATGGTCGGGCAATCTGATCGACCCTGCGAAGTCTGCTGAGCTAGTCGCGGCGAGATGGGGCGGGAAGGCGAGTTATGACAAGCCTGAGGCTCCGCTGACTGAGGCTGGGATGAAGAGTGCGTCATTGGAGGATCGTGCCTATGCCTTGTCGCAGCTGAATCAGATGGTGAACTTTCACAAGAAGCACCTATGCTCTGGGCGAGGAGCGCCTATGGTGAGTGCGGCTGCCCCTAGTGGACCCTTTGCTCCTGACCAGCTGGATGATAGCAGGAAGTTCAGGCCTAGTGAGGCGGCGAGCAAGATGACCTACAATCTTGTGATACTGGATGGGAAGAAGGATTATCTTGCCGATAGGCGAGAGATCAATCCAGAGTTGAGGGAGACGGGAGTTATCCCTGATGAGGCCGTCACTTGCCAGATTGTGGTTCCCTCGAAGACGAGGTTGGGCGAATACCTCCCGAACTACGAGGAGACCGTGGGCACCGTTGCAGGACGGGAGGCGGCGAAGGAGTTGATGAGACTGCTCTCGTGCGATTTCGACGGTTTGGTCATCAATTCAAAGAGAGTCTCGGAGTTATTCGAGGAACGTGTGCTGAAGGAGACCGGACGCGAGGCTGGAAACTGGGTGAAAGTGACCAGGCCATCTGGTTCCTGAAGGAGATCTCGGGCATGGAGAACGCTGAGATGTCTTGGAAGTTCTTCATTCCGACGCTCAAAGCTTTCCCGATAGGGCAAGTTGAGGCGATGCTCATGGTCATGTACGACGGGAATGGCGTTCTCCTCAAAGAGAGCACCAGGTTGGTTGCCGTTAGGCACACGCGGATCGGACGCGACATGAGTTACAGTGCCGTTAGGCATAGGTACACTCAGGAAGATGCACCTGGCGGATCTCTGATGTATGAGATGCATTGGAATGAACTCCCCATGGTGGGGTACGTCATCATGAAGTTCTCGGACTTTCGGAAGGCGGTTCAGCTCCAAAGGGTAAGGCGAAATGGAAAGGCCATGATCGAGATATTGATCACGAGGCCCGATGTGTACGAGACCATTGGGGATGGTAGGCAGGATGAGGGCCTGATCCCACTTGTGGGAGCCATGGCGCCGGATGCCGAGGTATCGCCTTCGTGGTATGTCAGGGACAGGCTGCGGAACTACTCCGGTAGGTACGTGGTGGTAATGGTGGATCTTCGGGTGCACTGGTCCTTGGTTGGACCCGTGTTTTTGACAAGAAGGAAGACTCTGGCCGTTAGGAACGAGATCCACATGGGAGCATGGAAGGCGGCTTACATGTACGATGATTACACGATAGTGTACCATCGGGCATGGGACTATGGTGACTTCACCCCCGTTAGGGGAGAGCACAGGCGATCGCGGGAAGAGGTCAGGTTGAATGTGACTACCACGTTCTGTTTGAGGTGCGCGGAGATGACGCCAAATGGGATGCATTTGTGTCCTGGATGCGCGCTCCCGGTCTTTTACCCGAACTTTATCCCCAATGCGGAGGAGAAAGACTTCGAGAATTGCCGCATCGTGCCGGAGTGGGTGAGGACCATGGGGCAGTTCAAGCCCAAGAGGATCCCCACCGAAGTGGTCGGAGTCATCAAGAGGAACTTGATTTCCTATTCGATGGCGTCTGATCTGAGGATGACGGTGCAGAGCGGCATCAGACTGCCCCCTTATCTTGGTGAGGACAAGGGAGGAGTCGATGCGGCGTGGGATGAGCTGGCGAAGGTGCTCTTCCAATTCTCCTATGTGTCGGGGATTTCGGCATCGGATGCGTTCGTGGAGAAGTGGGTGGCGAAGCACCTGATTTTGACCAACCAAGTCGATAGATTTGAGTCGGTTACGGAGTACTTCCGGGCTAACCCAAGGCATGCTGCCCAGTGGGGTAGGCGTATGACGACTTCCGTTAGGAAGTTCGCTCGCCATGACACGTACTTGTCCTTCTACATCCCGATGGCATACGTGATTGGCTCCGCGGCTGGTCATCTGACCCCATTGTATCCGACCCATCGAAAGGACGTGGACATCCTGGAAAGTCATGCGTTGATGTCGCAGCTCAGGCAGTACATGGTGTCGGAGACAGGGTACGATGAGAAGAAGAGGTTGAAGGAGGCGATAGCCAAGGTGCAGAAGGCGATCAGTGCCGGACAGTCGGAGCCTCCCGCACCCTTTCGTGACCCGTTCGTCTACGTCAGCGACGAGAGGGTGAGGACGGTTCTTGATGGTCGTCAACCCGAACCACTAAACGTGGACATCGAGGGACTTCAATCGGTGCATCATGCTGCGCCAGGTCCTGGTCCCAAGCAGGAGCCGGTCATCAAGGGCGGAAAAGGAAAAGGGAAGAAGGGGGAAAAGGGCGGTAAGGGCGGTAGTCCTTCCGGCCCACCACCGAAGTCAGGTGAAGTGCCAGGTAAAGGATCTGGCAAGGGCGGTAGCCCATCTGTCCCGAAGGCAAAAGCAAAGGATGATGCTGGACCAGCTCCGATGGAGGTTGATGCAACTGTGACTCAACCGAAGAAGACTTGGGTCGAGATGGTGGTTCAAGGAGCCCGGCCGAGTGCGAAGGCTAAAATGACCCCGGTTCCAAAGGCCGAGCCAAAAAGGGAAGGCCGCTTCAGCATCTGAGGCGAAGAATGCTCCGGCTCCGAAGGCTGAAGCTAAGGAGACGAAGCAGGCCGAACCGAAGGTTGAGGTCAAGAAGGAGAAGACGGGCGGAGATGACGCTCCTGGCGGTAGCCGGGGGTCGGCAGAGAGAAAGGAAGTCCCGTTGGGGTCCCGATGAGACTGTGAAGGAGTCGACGAAGCGGGAGGCCTCAACAAGGCCTGATGACGTCGACAGCAGACCAGGTGCGGCAGCGAGAGAGGCTAGTGGGGATGATCTTCACTCCGCGCTTGGCAGATCTTCGGCGAAGGACGCGGTAGCGCCCTTGACGGCCTCCAAGGCTATGGCAAAGAAGCCTGAAGGCGGTGAGATCAGGTTGCAGTCGGCTGAGCGAACTGCGGCGAGCCCGGTGGAGGGTCACTTCCTGGTGCTGCCTGGGAGTTCGGTGGTGGACGCTCTTTTGGCGGTCTCCACCAACAGGGTGCTGAACAAGCAAGTCAGGGATTTCATTAGAAATGGTGAGGACGCGTCAGCACTGGAGGCTCTCAACCAGATCGTGACGAACTCTCGCTCTGGAAGGAGGCGTAGGGAATCGGATGTCTCCCGTACTCCTTCTCGGAGGTCCGTTAGGACCGTGGACACCAGGGATTCCAGGGAGTCAAGGAGGCGCAGATACCGTCCACGGCGCGAGGATGATCGAGACCGGAGGAGGGACGATGCTCGTGATCGTCGTGATGATGAATCACTCGATCGGGAGCGAGATCGAAGGCGAGATGATCGCAGGAGATCCGAGAGGGATCGTGATAGGGACCGTGCGCGGGGCGGACGTGACCGGAGGAGACGTGACGATAGCCGGTAGGCTGAGGCTTGCGTCCATTCTCCAATGGTCGGCGCGGTGCGGAGGTGGTGATGTTCCTCCCGGACCGCTGAGGCGCGGAGGTCATGTCTCTCCCATACCGCTGCTGGGCTGCTGGACGTGTTCATCAGGGAGCAGTGTGAGTGAGAGGGAAAGCAAACTGATGGGGGGTTACTCCCGGGTTTGCAGAATTCAAGCATTTTTATTCAATGGACATACGTTATCTTTTATTTCATGGCTTCTGATAAGAATTAAACTTCTTGCATTGTTGATGCAAACAGTTGTGACCTAATGTCGTCATGTGGACTTTTCCACAAGGTTTGTTGGACAGCGTTACCCCGATTAATTCGGGGTGGTGGCGGGAATTTAATGCCCGGGATGTCGCGCAACTGCCTTTGTGGGTTTGCTCCACCGCTGACGGCGGTAGTGTCCAGCTGTTTGCGGACGCATGCGAGCAGTTAAATCCTATCAGTAAATGGCACGCTCCACCCGTCATATGACGGGCTCCTCGTGAGGGGGGTGTGATTAGCCATGGTTCATATCATCATCAGGAACGTCGCGTTAGTGACCGACCTGTGGTGTTTTGGCTCAAGTTTTGGGTTCCGTCGCGCCTCGAATGGGCGTCGCCGAACCCCTGCGTCGACCGACGGCATCTCGGGGGAGAAAGAGACCTCGGGCCGCCGCCAGGTTGGTAGGGACCAGTCGTGCGGCCTGTTGTCGACCAAGGTTGCGGGTTAACCCTTTTCTTGTTTGGTTTGTTTCCCTTTTGGTTGTTGTTCTCTGGTGTGTGGGAAACCCTGATCTTTGGGACCGGGGATTGGTTTGCTTTTGGGGAACCTTTCTTTTGTGGCCTGTTTACCCCAACTTACCCATTGCCTGGGCACAGGCTCGTGCCCGAATCACAGTTTGTAATGGACTCCCCAAAATGGTTGGTTGTCTTTTGGTGTCCCTCTAAAGCAACCATAAAACATAGGGTCCCCAAAACATACCAAATATATATGGCCAGGGGCGTCAGGAAGGGGATTCTTCGAAGCCAGCTTATTGCAATTCCGGCTGGGTGGGCGTAGAACTTCCTGCGAGATTTCTCAGTTTCGACCCAATTCCAACCCCAGGAGAGCTTCCTTTGTAATTACTAACGGGGGTGTCTCAAACTAGGGGAAAACCTCAAAACACATGTTTGTACTAATGGGGAGACACCTCAAAATAGGGGAAAACCTCAAAACACATGTTTGTACTAATGGGGAAACACCTATGTTTGTACTAATGGGGAGACACCTCAAAATAGGGGAGAACCTCAAAAAACATGTTGGTACTAAAATAGGGGGAGAACCCTCAAAAACATGTTGGTGCTAATGGGGAGACACCTCAAAATAGGGAGAGAACCCTCAAAAAACATGTTGGTACTAATCGGGAGACACCTCAAAATAGGGGGAGAACCCTCAAAAAATGGGTGGGTGTCACGTGGTTTCCTTTCACCAGGGGCTGCCTTTCGCGCGTCGGAACATTCCACTGGACGAGCCACAATCTTGAGGCCAGGGGTCCGGACGGGAACTTGGCGGTCGCGGCGGAGCTGATGGAAATGTGGGGACCTGAGGAACCGAGGGTCTCGTTTTTTTTTTCTTCTTTTTTTTCTTTAGGTCGTGTTTTTTTTTTTTTTTTTTTTTTTTTTTTTCCGGGGGGGGGGGGGCTGGGGGTGCCATGGACACACTTAGAGTCTATCTTGCAGACTCAAGCCCTAAGAAACCGAACACCCTAAATGAAGGAGGTTGCAAAATACCCTCAGTGTCCATACGGGAGGAAGAGGGGGAGGGAACCAACCGGTTGGGTTGTTTTTGATAGGTAATAGAGAAACGCGGAGGAAGTCAACCTGAAACAGGAGTCCCCAAAAAGTTTGATACCCAAATGCAAGAGCACAAGTCGAGTCACTGTGCGAAGCTCCGAGAGGACTACCATTTTAGGGGGCCCCTAAAAGAAGAAGCACCCAAATAGCAGCTTTCATTGAACTTTCAGCCAAGGTTGCACGTCAACTTGGAGCAGGCTTGGGGGCGCTTGTTTCTTCGGCGTGGCGGACGAGATGACTCGTGTTTTCGGTGCACGAAAAGTGGCCAGGAGGTCTCTAAATGGAACCCTCAAGATGGTGCTTTTCCATTTAGGGCGCCATTTTGGACCCCCCAAATTCGCGGGTCCCACGGCCGTGTTTGTTGGGTCCCGTCGCATGTCACGGCCAGGCGGAGCCCACGCTAAAGGAGTGCTTGCCTGGAGCAGCCGCCTTGGAGCCGCGAACGCCAGGTGGTTGTGCTATTCCTCTAGCGGTGACTTTTCCATTTCCATTCTTAACCCAGGGATCCTTCTTTCTAGAAAACCACCAAAATCCCTGAATAAATGGATCCGTTTTTTGAAGAGAACGATGGCTGAAAAGAATGGACAAGGAATCAACTAGAATTCTGGGTCCTGGTACCTTTTTGAGCGCTTGGAAGGAAAACTAAGAGGACCCCTTTCCTGGCCTTTTGGGGGGAAATCAAGGGAACAAAAAGGACAGATACCATCTTGAAGAAGAACACTATCCGAGGACGCACCCAAAATTGGGGAGCCTGTCATGTGGGTATGGTTCAAAATTAGACCACTAGGAACTGGACCACTGGTTTTTGTCCTTGTTTCCATTTAGGGCAGCCCATTTTTGGGTTACCAACTATTTTTGACCCAGACCCAATAATCTAAGATGTCAATCTACTTGCTGGTGCCATAGGCAGGGACCGAGAAATGGGATGACCCATAAACAGTCCAACTGTTTGCTAGGGAATTTCTAGTTCATTCCCACCGCCACGCCCAAAAAAGCCACACGTTTTTGTCCTTGTTTCCATTTACCAGCCCATTTTGGGGGTGACCAACGATTCTTGACCCAGACCGTGCACTTCTAGGTCCCCCAGTGGTGCCCTTTTAACCCCCTTCTTGGGGGAGGGTTCCCCTACTGAAATAGACAAAGCCAAAAAAAAAGAAAGAAAAAGGAAAACACATCGGGTACCAACTTCTTCCAACCTCTTCAAATCCGGACCTAGTTTCAAATTCAGACCCATGGGTTGCTTTCAATTTGTGTCGGCAAGCACCTCTCAAATCCGGAGGGACCCTTAGTCCCTGGCCTCCCCTGGCTTCCAAACAGACCCATGGGGCTTTCAATTTTTGTGGGCCAGGATTTTTTTCTACTGGACCTGCCCTGGCCTCCCCATGGACCTCGCGAATCGCCCGCGCGCTCGCGCGCTCGTTTTCGCCGAGGACCCTTACGCCATCCTGGGCGCCATGGAGGAGTCCAAGGTCGCCGCCCTGCTGCGCTCCGTGAGCCGGGCCGCCTCGGCGCCGGGAGCCCCAAAGCGAGCGGAAGCGAGCGGAAGCGAGCGGAAGGGGCGGCGGGAGCTCGGCCAAGACCGGCCTCGCGTGACGTGGCGTGTGCTTTTTTTTGGTTTTGCTTTGGGGGGGGAGGGGAGGCGACCCCTGATTTGGTGGTGTGTGTGTTTTTTGGGGGGGAGAGGGGAGGGGCCGAGTTTGGGAGTCACTGCACTTTGGTGTTTTGGGGGGTCCAACTAGTTTTGAGAGCCTGAATCTGTGTGGGGGTGGACTTGAAAAGGTTCAAGAATTGCCCTTAAGGATTTTTGACCCGAAGAGACCAGGGTCTGAGAAAGAGGTTTACTTGGACAAAGGCAGGGCCCCTGTTTCGGTTCAGAATGAGGGCGAACATTTCCCTTTTTTGGTTTTTATAGGGGGTTCCCTACTGTGGATGGACGAAATCTTGCACCACTTTGACTCCATAGCATACCAGTATTTGTTGGTATTTTCAGGGGAACCAGGGTTGCTTAGGTGGTGCAGGATTTCGTCCATCCACAGCTAGGTCCCCCAGTAGTGCCCTTTTTGCCCCCTTTTTTGGGGGGAGGGTTCCCCCACTAAAATAGACTACAGAAAAAAGGGTACCCTTATTCTAACCTCTCTACTGCAGGACCTAGACAGTGTGTTACCCCGTTTTTGGGTGGCGTCCGTTTCGTCCCCTTGTTTCGGCTGAGGCTGGAAGGCTTGCTTTGCGTGTGCCGCGAGGGCAGCTCTGTGCAGGTCCTCGAGGCCCTTTCCTCGGAGAGCGAGTGGCAGGGTTCATGTGGCTGTGGTTGTCAAAACCAATGGGATCCCATTTTGGGGTAGGTGCACCACCCATGTTAGTCTATGTTGGTGGGGATTGGGATGTTCACTGGGGGTACGGGGTTTTGACCCATGGCCATATGGTTGTCTCTGTCAACATAGATTTCCCTTCACAACTCCCAACACAACTCCCAAATTGGGTTTCCACAGGGGAAACAACCTCAAACAGGGAAACCACAGAAAATCACAATTCTATGAACCCAAAGTGGTTTTCGGCCTTTTTTGTGGTCTCCCCCCAAAAGGGGTACCCTCAACAATATACACAGACGTAGCCCCTCGTTTCAGCATCTTTCGGTTGCAAATTCAATGCGACGTCCTTATGGCACAGTGATGTTCAAATGGGGAGCCGTTTGTGGATGGTTACAAAATCCAAACCCATTTCGCACCCTGATTGAACCTTTTTTATGCATACTTAGATAAGCCATCCATCTCAACCGGTGCCTGGCGCAGATTTGTTGGAAGCCGCACTTGGTGCAGGGTAACAACTCACTTTCTCATCAGGAAGACCCGCAAACTTTTCACAATACAAACAAGCAGTATTTACACACTGTGGATGGACAACATCCTGCACATAGGAAACCCTGGAATGATACGATTCCGCTGAAAAAGTCCCAACCAAAATTAGTTTCCATGGATTGAAAGTGGTGCGCAATGGATTTGGTCCATCCACAGTATCAAGAGATTTGCTTCGCGCCTGAATGAATCGAGTTCAGCTTGCAGGCAGTCCGAGCACCTCTCAAAGATGTCGGCCAGTTGGGCACCAGCATTTTCTGCATCGCGGCGTGGTATCCGCAGGACCGATGTGTCAGGAAGAGCGGAATTTGTGTCGGTGAAACGGGCAACAGATTGGAGTCTCCTGCAAGTGATGGTGCCTCTTTTCAGGTCGGTTCCATCTTGAGACAGACACCCATTTTGACAGACTGGGTGATGTGTACCTAAAGTTGTTTGGGTATAAAGTGCCATCCATGTTTGACGCAGACCGGCCGGCCATGTTGATCCGAGAGTGTCGGAGATTGGGAACTCCACGGTTTCCGTGGCCTTTTGATAAAGTCAACCTCGACTTTATCTGGAGGGACCCCACAAAGAGTACCCATGTTTTTTTTTTTTTTTTTTTTTTTTTTTTTTAAATTGTTTTTTTTTTAAAAAAAAAAAAAAATGTTTTTTTTTTTTTTTTTTATCATTCCATTACAGTTGTAAGGGGAACCCGCCCCTCTTTTGCACGATCCGGAAATACTCCGAGGCTGACATTGCCCTAGAACCGTCTAGAAACCACACTCTTTGCGAGGAGCGTGAGCGTGCTCCAGCAACTTCCAGCTCGGCCCCCCAGTCCGCGCGCTTGCGCGGAGTGCTTGGTGCTAGTGGCAAAGGGGTCTTCGTGTCACATCATGTCGATCAAGCACGTTGCCGGATATTTCCTCAGAAAGCTGCAGCCAATGGCATCATCTTTTTTGTGTCATCCTTTCAATGGGATTGGTCCTTCTTGGCAAGAGGTGGATATGGGGTTACCCATTTTCATTTGGCCGTGGGTCACACCAATGGTACCAATTTGGGGCTAGGAGCACCACCCATTTCAGTCTATTTTAGTGGGGATTGGGATGTTCACTGGGGGTACGGGGTTTTGACCCATAGCCATTTGGATATGGGTCAAAATTAACGCGCCAGGGGACCAGGGTGCCATTTGGGGTACCTATTTTTGACCCACAGCCAGGTCAACATTTTGCTGGCCCCACTTCACATTATTTGGGTGTCCACCGAAAAAGGGCAAGGAACTGACTCAAGTCACCCGAGCAAAGTCAACTCTTCCAAGGGCGCCAGCCACATACCCGAACCACGGAAACCCGAAACAACGAGGCCGTCCCAAAGGAGATTCCTCTCTGCGTGATATGGCGCTTTGTGGTTTTCATGTGAATCTCTGCAACGTATGGGTCGGCAACACTGCAAACTGAGAGCGCAGGCTATCACGAGATGATCAAGGCCTTGTTCTCGCCAACTCCTCCTGCTGCTGCTGCTGCTGGAAGCTGGGGCCCAGATGCTGACCGGCTTGGAGCGAGGTCAAATGCGATGCAGTCACATGGCCATTCGTTGAGTTGGGTTGGAGTGGAAGGAGAGGACATAAATCCCGTCAAAGGGTGCCCGCTTCAAATTCATATTCAAATGATTGGCATTTTGTCAATGGGTAGTCCCTCACAACAGGGGTCCCCATATTTCCCTTTTTGGTGGTTTTAAACGTCACCTTTTTTGGCTCATAAAAGATGAGTGCCCCTTGGTGGGGGTGATGTTTTAAGGGAAATATAGGGAGCCCTGTCACAACGCAGCCAAGGGTGCATGATCCTTTCCTCGACTTGACAAGTTGCCAAGGTGGAGATGTGGTTGCCTGAGATGAGCTGTTGCCAACGTGAACAGATGCCGATGGCAACAAATCGAGTGGATTCCGCGCAGTGTGGGAGCACCAGCCCAAGAATACAACAAGGGGGTAAGGTCCGCAAATTTGTTTGCGATTTTATTCTTGGGGGATAGATGATTGTGATCCGGTTGAGTCTTTCTTCACTCATCCGTCATGGGCTTGTGTGTTTCAACAATTCCCCCATGCCAAGGATGTCCCGCCGGAGAAGGAACAGCCCGTCCAGGCACTTTTGCGCCAGAATATGGCTGTTCCGGAAGCTTTGGTGAAAGCGTGAAAGAGTTGCAGCCTCTAGTATGACTCCCAGCAAAGAATTTCATGGATGCTGTTTTATATGCGTTTTGATGACCTGCAACTTTCCTTTTGCCGTTAGAGGCGGCACGCTTCAAACTTGGAATACTGAGCTGTTGCTCGTTTCGGGCACAAGCTTTCTGACGAACGCCCCTTTGTGTTCCACAAGTCCACCTTTCAAGATTCCCATGGCCAACAAAGCGCTCCATGTTCCCAGGGCTTTTGTAGGACACATCGCTATGAATTCAGCTGGAACAGTGTCAATAGTCGGTGGAACATCCTCCCCAAGCCTCACAGGCAAGCCATCGGTGCTATCGGTATTTGGACGGTCCCCATATGGCCTTCCATGGCCTTGTTTTTTTTTGGGTTCCGACTTACAAAAAGGGGTACCTGGACAGGGCTCCTTAAAAGAAATCCATTTTGCCGCCATTTGAAACATGTTGCTTTTTCAACACCCAACTAAAGTTGGAAACCACCATTTACAAGTTGCAATGTTCAGGTGTATACTGTAAGGATCCCTGTTGGAGTCGCCAGGCCCGCAAAGGCGGATGGGGCGGTACCGAAAAGAAAGCCATGCAACTCCCCTATTGTTGGTTCGGGTCAGAAGGAGACTCCAGGTACCCGCAAAGATCACCCAAGGTCACAACTCCTGGCGGTTGCCTCACTGGTCAAAGTTTTCAGGGCCGATGGTTGATGACCCCCCCATTTCCGGGTCCCAGGTCCCATGCCGGGAATGGGCTGGCCCAACTGTCCAACACTCCCCCTCCGCACGAACCTGAATAAGACAGCAGAAGAGTATGGACAATATATATATATATAGAATTTAGGGGAAAAAAACAATGATACAGACTCCCTGAGGAACCTTGTATCGGACGATAGCGCAGAAGCAT